TGCTTGCGTTTTTAATTGTTAAGTTGGTTGTGTTTCGAAATTCTCTAGGTGTGATCTACGCGTATTAAACTTCTTTAAAGTCAAAGAATTTTTCAATTTTTCTACGTAATTCCTTGACTTCCAGTTTCCGTGACTTTTCCCCGATTTCCCAGGTTTGTGGCAATCTCGTCTGTTACAGGACTCTCTACTTCGTACAAAACGGAGAACAAATCGAGGTATTTACTTTTCTCGAACGCCTCCAGTGACGAATCGTCCTTCCGATGAGCGTCCACTTGCAACTTCCTCTCGCGCAGCAGTGCAGTGCAGCGTGTAGTTATACCGGTACAGTTGGTCCGTGATAAACAAAAACACAAACTCACAGCTAGTCCGATCTCGTTCTCTCCAAAGTGGCGTGTCTCTTTCGCGCGCGGCGCGGTGTATCAATCGCCCGCTGATTCTCCTTTTCCTCGCATTCGCTCGCGAGAAAATACGCGGCGCGAAGCGAGCGAGGCTGCGGCGGCAAAGTGCGAGATAGGAAGAGGCAGGCAGAACAGCAGAAGTAGTGGATGGAAAAAGCGCGTGCGAGAGCACGCGTGAGAGGAAGAGGGACGAGGAATGATATAGCCGAGAAAGAGGAGGCGGGAGGGGAGGGGAATGAGCGAAAAAAAAAAAGGCAAGTGATACTACGCGAGGAGGGACAGTGATAAAGTGCGAGCGAGAGAATTTCCTGGGGCGACAGCCGCGCGTCGAATCGGCGCCAATAATCGATCTGCTCGCTGTCGATTCCGCGACGGTGCCTCGCGATATGCGTTGCCGTCGACGTGTCGGGTCACATCGTCACATTTCTGCCGCCGCGTACCGCGTGGCGCGAAAAACGGAGCGCTCCGAAAATGATGATCCTTGAAGGACGTGGTGCGCGAGCGCGAACGCGCGTCACAAACGGTTGCAGTCTCCGAGGTAGAGTCGCGCCGAGGGAAAGAGATCTTCCTCCTCTCCTCCTCCTCTTCCTCCTCGTCCGCCGGTATGTTCCTGCTCAGGATCCGATCGAGCAGACACTGACCCCACGAGACGACGTCGGTACGAAGAAGAGAGAAGGAGAGAGCGAAAAAGATGGGGAGAGGGAGAAGAAGTACGAGGAGGAACGGAGTAGAGGTGCGAGGGAGAAATGGGATAGAAGTCGAGAGAGAGAGAGAGAGAGGAAACGATAAATAATGTAGCAGGAAAGACGAAGAAAAGGAGGGAGCAAGAAAGTACTTACGCGGAGTCTTCACTTTCGTCGCGACATTTTCCCCCTTCGAACACGCGCGGGGCTTTTAAAAACTGAGTCACGGAAACCGAAGAGAAGGAAGATGGAGCGCTTTTCCGCTTATCGTTGCGTGCACTTGATTTTTCAAATTTCTTTCTTGTCCAGGCACGCGAAAGTAATGCGCAACGTTATCGTTCGATATATATATACATATATATATATATATATATATATATATATGTATACTATATATCGAGGAACAGAGACGGAGATAGAGAGAGAAAAAGAGAGAAAGAGAGAGAGAGAAAGAAAAAGACGCTGATCGTCGTCGGCAGCGGCGACGATGCGCGATGGCGGCGCGCTCGCGGAAAGTAAACGTGACAACTCGTATCGCGCGCGCCTGCTTAACATATACTGAATACGTTTCGTCCGGAGCGCTCCGCTATACTGGAGCTCGGCGCTCGGCTGCCTTCGGCCGTCCTCGACGACCTTCGGCCGCGCAGACGACCGCGGCCGAACCGACCAACCGACGCATCGCCCGGCTGACGAGACCCGCGCTGTCACTCGATCGCTGACCGTGCATCGTGCGGGTCGATGTACAACGCTTTTTTGCCTCTCCACTTGCTTAGATTTATACTCGCTACCTGTCAGAATACCACCCGCTACGCTCTTTAACATTTATTCTGAAAAAGTTCATATTTGTGTAACGGTAATATATATGGAGGATGAAAGCGATAATGGTGCAAGTCATTTTTTTATTAACCTGATTTGAGGTCATTGCAGTATACATAAAGAAAAATATCATTTTATTGCGAAGGAAAATGATTACTCAATTTTTTTTTTTTAATAACAGTTATTTTTAACAAAGAATATTTTCTTAATAGTAATCTTAAAGTATACTTACTACAAATCTTAGAAAAATTAATTATATGTACATATTAAAAATAAAAATTTATTATTTTTTAAAGAATATATAAAATTGATCGAAGAAGCGACTTTATATAATAAACAAGTTGAATTTGTTTTTTTAATTTAATAGATAAACTTATAGATTTGCGGATATATGAATTGTCGAAATACTTGAAACAATTGAAGCAAATATGTTGAATTTTTTATAGATAAATACGTAATTAATGTTTCTTTATTTTAAAAACAAAGTGTTTACTTTCTAATAATTTTAAAAAATTAATATGCTGCTTCCTGGATTATAGAATTTAATGCATTCTCTTAATCATGAATGTATATTTTGTGATTAATAAATAACCGATATATCTAAGAAATAAATTCTCCCAGATTGTCTTTACATAAGGATAAGATTTGCCTGAAAGTTATTTATAACTCATGGTGATTTGGTAATGTGTAATAAATTTATGCCAATTAACAAAAACTTACAAAAATATCCTCATATATACGTCAAAACTGTATAGTATAATGTCTTAATTAAAATGATTTAAATTCTACTTTATCGCTACAGCCTCTCGAATAGTTTACCGAATGAAATTCTCGTTGCTTATTTTTATCAGAAAGATCAAAACACTGGCAGGAAAAATATTTATAAAAAATATTCATAAAAAATATTCGTATAAAATACAATCATTGTAACAACATACATCGTTACACATAATATATTGTAACAGAAGTCGGATGTACGCGATACATTATGATACATTAACCGTGCGTTATTAATCGTCGTTACCAGATACAGTGCGACAGTTTAAATCAGTTTCCACCTCATTTGAAAGTACATTAAAACAACAGAACCGTGTCCTGCAGCATCATTAGTTTGACAATCGTTCACTTGGAGAAACTGTAAACTCGCTTAAAGCGTGAACTCGTTAAAGTTTGAAACATTAAATTGTTTTACAAATACAGAAAATCGTAAATCATTTTAACATAAAATACGATTTTATGATTTTATTCGGAATGATATTAATTTCTCGTTTTAAAATAATTTAATATTAAATATGATTTTATTATTCAAGATTTTGTAATTTGAATACGGTTTTATAATTTTATTATTCAAGAGAGAATCTTTAATCATTAATCGATAGTGTGTTCATATTTTAAATATAGTCAAATTTTTTATCTTTGTAAGTTTCTCGCCTCATCAGCACAATTTTATTGATGTTAGTGATACGTCAATGATATTCCTCTATCACTATATGCATAAAAGCAACTCCGGCACATCGAGGCATTGTCGAGCATACGCGTTCGCGTGTATACATTATGCAAATTGATTCCATCGATTGGCCACCAGACTCACCACGCGAAATATAGACTTGTTGCACGTTTCAAAAGCTCTATCCTGGTCTCTAGAACATGCTCCCCATGTAACTCGCATTTACCACGCAATCTCGAGAAAATCATATTAAGAAAAAACAAATATGTTAACGAGTCTTCCAGCAGCGTCTATTATAATACTTTACAAGCGTTTCTAGAATGTATTTAATTTGCATTTCAATTCGAATTGTAAAAACAAAAGAATACATCGAGAAAACATGTTTACTACATTTTTAATAAATATTTGTTTGAATAGTAATAACCTAACATTCACTTAGAGAAAATAAATATTTACTGAATAAAAAAATTATATTTAAATCAAATTAATTGTTCTTATATCAAATAAATATATGTTTATATTTAACAAATATTCAGCTAGTATTATTCAAATAAATATTTATTAAAATTTAGTACATATCTCTCTCTCGATATACCTATTTGGACGCAAGAATTGAAATTTCTCTATTTTATTTCTCAATTTATTTTATTATAAAAATTAAAAGTAATAATTATATTAAAATAATATTAATAATTATATTAAAATCCTAATTTTTGTAAAAACGATATATGACAATTTTATATAAATTTTAAAGGGCAATATTAATATTAGGGCAAATAATGAAGACCATTATGTTTTCCATTATTATATGACTCCGTATTTAGAATTGTAGAAAATTCTAATTATTGCAAGAAAACGAGGTCAAAATAATTCAAATTTCTATAACAAAAGAATCGTTAAAACTTCCTTGCGTTATTTACATTATAAGTGTGTATCTTATTTCCCTATAACGTGTTCGTCATAAATATTATATAAACGCGTACTATTTCAATTTGATCGATCCATCCCGTTTTGATAGCATTTCTCCGAACATTTCGATTCCGTTATCGATTGCTACAATTCGCCACGTGCAATTCGCCAAACGAGCGGCATTTTCTCGAGTTTACAGACGATTAAGGATTGTCGTAATTATTTTAAGAGGGTTCTTCATGGGAGCGGTGCTCTTGCCGATTGCTATGTGTCGCCAACGACGGCGCCACTCTTCTCGCCACTAATGTGAAAGTCATTATGCCTAGAATGTAAGCCTTTTTCACGAAATTATTTAATGCACTTTTATTTGACTTGGAATATTTGCACATGAACGAAAATGAATGACTCGTCTTAGTAAAAGAATCATTTGATAGAAGTTATGAATTATAAAATGAGATGTCACTCAATCAAACAATGATATGTTATTGTTACATTTTTTCATTTTGCTTGCATCCAGTAGATACAATTGTGCAAAATAATTTAAAATAAGGTGAAAATTAGCAGCAAGAATAAATTTTTCAATTTAACTTAGAATTGATTTTTTTCTTGAATCGAAAATTTTATCTAACAATTTATCATTTATTTTTAATTTCTATCATTAAATACTTCAGCTTTTACCTTCGATTTTTAAATATAATGAATAAAAAAAGATGGAATGTTAATTATATATCTTTAATTTTCCCACGTTCGTTTATTAGCTTTTGAATTTAGTATTAAAATGAAATCATATTGATTACAAGTTTATCAAGTGAGTTTTAAATCGAAGAGATGGCACGTGTTAATGCGACAAGAAAAGGAAAAAAGCCGATGACGTAAATCTCTTTGTACTGCTTTCAATATTTTTACAGGAACTAAAAGGACGAATATATTTTATTCCATCATAAAATCTCCTAAATATGCTGTGCAAGCGCAAGGAGTACGTTTCCCATAGTCAGAGAAAAAAAAAGATTAACGAGAAAAGTGAGCAAGAAGACTAACGTGTTTAAATGCAAAAGGCATAGCAAAGAGTAGCTATTACGATTCGCAGTAAATGATAGGTAGAACGACATTATCGATCCTTATCGTGAACTCGACTTTACTAAAGAGAGCAGCAAATCGAGCGGGTTTTGCTCTGCTACCGGTTACCCAAGAATCCTACAAGATGATAATGAGAGCCCACTATCTCATGCCAAGCCAACCATAATTAGCTCGTTGGTAATACATGGTTGTCGTCGGTGCGATTAGTGTAGTCTTCTTTCGCGAGTCGTATCGCAAATTGCCGGAATTGGGTAACTGAATACGAGTTCTTCGATTACAAGCGAGTTTCTAGCAGTCTTTCAAAA